AGAAAACTATACCGTATTCCAGTGGTCCTTTACAATCGCCTAAATCAGTTGTATATATATATATATACATCTTCATTTGCAAAATATAAACATAACGTGTGAAGATGGCTTCAAAAATGTTGAATCGTAACTCCCTAAATCGATGTACTGTTCCCAATATTCTAAACCTTAATTCAGGAAATGAATATTCATCTTATCCCAGATCTAATGCTAATGAAATCGATAGAATGGAATGTTACTTTACCGAGTTTTGAAGTAGTTAGTTATAGTTAGTTTCAATACACATACACTTTTATAAAGCAAACAATAAAGTAGAACCGCACTGGATTGAAAATCAACATATTGTTATACAGAAATAACTTGTGAGCTAGGAGCTAGATATAAATAATTCATAGAATTGGATTTAACTGGAATAGTATTTCTAAAAACAATGAATAACAAATTTAATTTTTGGGATTTTGGCTCTTTTCCAAAAAAGTATATTCAAAAAAAGCAGGGTCTGAGAAACAAGACGTTGATATGGTTTTTAGTGTACAAATGATATCCAATTCATGACACAAAGGTGTCTAAATCAAGCTGAAAATGTTATGATTACACCATAAAAAAAAAGAAATAAAAACACAAAATTCACTTGAATAGTCAAAAACCCAAAACTGAATATCCAGCAGCAACATGCAAGAAACAAACTAATTCAGAACATAGAAATTGGTATACCTATTTTGGAAGTGAAAGCTGATGGATATCTATGACTATTTCAGCAAGGTTTTTGATGAAAAATGTTATTTTTTTGTCACTGACAATCAGAGCTATGCTACGTCAGTTTGTACAAAGAACATTGCAACCATTGATTACATATAAAGTACACGAGCCTAAATATGCAACATAAAAAAAACAAAAATACATAAAAAAAAATTAAATACATTTTAGTAACTGAAGAAATAGATATGAATTATGTTACATATCACATATAAGCGATTTGGAGTAACTATTGTGTGCATCATGTTCAAAATTCTGTGCTGAGCTCACTTTACTGCCTTGTTGAATTCCTATAAAGCAAACTAGGACGGATAAAACATCAATCACACATTATGAATATAATGAAACCTGCTTTTCACCTCGAAGTACAATTAAAAGTATTTGAAAACTTCAGATTTAAAAAAAAATGTAATTAGATGATAGCTCTTCCATCAAATCAAATAAAGACATAACCTTGATAAGAGGCGAGCTACAAAAGTACAATATTTAACAAAAATTATTGAATTATTAACTTTTTGAAAATTACAATGTAAAAAAAAGGTATCCTGTTCAGGTTCAGTCATTCTGTCTGGATTTTTTTACCGCATAGCAATAGCTTGTTATACATTATCCAAATTAATATCAATAAAACTGACAGATCAAATAGTGAGAATATTTGAAACACCTACAAAAAAAAAGGCTCCACCTACTTAGAGGTGACAGCGATGCCTTCTGAAATCAAGAAACTGCTCCTCAGGAAACAGAAAAAGCTAACCAGTAGTCTCAGTATCTTAGTGCTCAAACACATTATTTATATACAAATCACCTAATAGATCAATTATTAACAGACCAAAAAAATGTATGCCCATTAGGTGTGCGTGCATCAATAAATTTTTCATTTTTTCAACATGTATAAGATAATGGAGAAATCTACTACCCAGCAAGTACAGTATCACAAAATAAGGTTGGATGAGTTAACAATATCAAAATGTAGAGATTCACTGTCATCTTCTGAAACTGTTTGTTGTTTCAGATTTTCAGGCCTTCATATGTTGAAATTTCTTCCTGACCTTTCGCTGACCGAGTGGTTTACATCTTCGCTTCCATGATCAAAGATACACACCTCTGAAGATGCCAACCCCCTCGCCGGCAAAATGTCAGGAAGGAATTTCAAGACGACAGACTAAAAATCCTAACAAACAGTTTTGAAAGTAAAATTATATTGGACTTAAATTTTGAAGCAATTAATAAAGATGATTGCTTAAGAAACTTAAACAAAATGTATGTCCCTCAGAAACCACCTTACCAATCTAGAACACTGGAGACTATTTGTTTTGAAATAAACGTCTGTGTACAATCTGCACAATGTTCATTCATCTTTTTGAATTGTTCATTCATTTTGTGGAAAGTTTCCCACTTTTCATAGCTATATTAATGGAGAAATAGAAAGCCAAAAAAGTAATTCAACCAACTAATCAGCATTCATATTTATATGTATATTTGTGCTTAGTGCTATCTTTTAAAACTCATCTGACATTTTTAAATGCATTCCATTAGTTTTCCAAGTATTGAAAAAAGAGGTGATTCGTAATGGTGTGTAATAAATGATAAAAGTTGTTTACTGGTAAACATAAACAGCCATTGATCACAGTCCTTAAGCCAGAGTAAAAGTCACAAATGTCATGATTTGTTGAAATTTAAATTAAGATCGAAATAATGTCGAGTTATACAAATGCATATATAAAAGAACAAAATAAATATTTGTATATTCAGTGTTACTATCTCCATTCGGGTTTGAAGGCCATCGTAGTTTGGAACTGCATCCAAGTTCGCCAGCATGACTGGTTGGCTTCTTCAGAGGTTTATTCACATTAATGATTCACTGATGATCGGTGAATCATCAAGGCTTCTTCATCTTGATGATTCACCGATGTCATCAGTGAATCATTAATGCGAATAAACCTCTGAAGAAGTCTGTCACTCGTGCTGGCAAAACCTAAGGATGTAGTTCTAAACTATGATGGCCTTCAAACCCGAATGGAGATAGTAACACTGAAAATCTCAGCTGCGAAAGCCTTAACCAATTTATTTGTATATTGATTCCCAAACTGTTTTCTCAGAGTAATTAGACTTCTCTATACACAATGTGATGTGAAAAGATTGTGGAGGGGTTTCTGAGGATTCATTGTTTTTGTGTGAGGATGTTTCCGCAACTTGAAAAGGTTGTTCATTGCCTGTTTTCGGCAACCAGAATATGTAGACGTATTATGATAATGGGCAGCAATTTTCTTTTAAAATTGATTTTGTCATAATAAAGTATAGTTTACAGAAATGCTGTTTTCGATACTCAGCAGTACTTTTATTCAATATTTCTACATACATCAACCTTCGTTGATTTGGATTGTTAGCCATATGGCGATTTCAATAACCCGATACGGTTTGTCAAAAAATTGAAGCGATTTTTATTTACAGTACAACGCGTAGCTTTCACGAACATCTTATTTGAGAGCAAATTTGACACTCAGATTTTTCTGAGTCATGATTTTTAATTTCTTTTGGACCACAAAGTTGCAATAAGTAGTATTACTTGAAGAAACAAAAGTACTTTTTTCTCACAAAATGGGCTTAATATAGTCACAGCCAGAGATGGACATTAGTTTCTATTATATCTTCTCCTTATTTATATAAGATGGATGTATTTAACAAATGTAGTGTTAAAAAGTGGAAAGTGTAATACGCTAGTATCTGGGCTGAGAAATTGATATTTAATTTGTTGTGACGCATAGATATTTGTTTAAAGGTGGTTGACAATGTTTCGTATTGTTAGATATTTGTTAAAACATAACAAGCAGTAAGATCCTTCGTGTAAGAAAAGGTTCTTTTCTCATCATCATAAATAAAAACTGATATACGTCATAAATTCAGAGTCTTTCCTGAATGATGAATTATCAAATTTATTTGAAGACGTGAATATTTTCCATAGAGTTCCTTGGAAGCTTTTGTCAAAAACAAAAAAATAACGTTTGAAGAAGTTATTATTTTCCAGGGAATTTTTAAATTTATTTGAGATGTGAGTATTTTTCACAGAGTTCCTTCAAATATTTAGTCAAATACACAAAAAAAAACATTTGAAGATTGTTAATCATTTTGGTGAACAAATACCCAAACTTTGGATTTCATTCATGAAGAAATAAAACTTGCAATGGGGTATGAAGTCAATATACTGAGCATTGCAAGGACAGAACAAATTTGAAAAATCGTTGTTATTCATGGACTGGGTGTTTCGCAGTGCAGCAGTTATATTATCTTCTTACAACATGAAAACCAATCTTGCAATTTTTTTTGGAGTCGTTACCTAGTGATTACTTACTGAAACTTCATTTCAACTCACAGAACTAGATATTATCTCACCAGATCAGCAAATAATCGATATAAAATTTGATATATCTAAACAAGAATCTACAGAATCAAAATATTACATTTTGAAAACCACCTGACATTTTGTTAAGCTTTTAATTTCAAGAACTTGAGTTTCGAGTTAATCTTTAAATGTATAGTGGAGAAACAATGTGTGTATATACATACACACAAACACACACACACACACATTCACTTGTCTTGGGCACCATTTAGACTTCCGCAAGGTGTTCCACTAGACTGAGTGGACATGTTACGTTGTGGAGTTGGACTGCATTTTCCTCCACTTCCGCTACTTAAAGCCATTTTTTGCATTTGTCTAATAACAGTAGTGGCGTGGTAGGCTTGCTAGAAAACAAATAAACTGAATAAAAAGCTGAAAATGATAAATGATTTACTTTCAACTATTGTGACCAGTTGAAACAAAACCTTCATATTATTAAATAAGGAATATAGTTCTATCCAAAACAAGCACTTTTCCAATGGAAAAACCAGTTTTCTACATCTCTTGAAGACGCCAACTTAGTTGGTCAAATGCGCGTCAAGAAGAATATTGCATTTCTGGTGATTAGGAAAATTCCTTGTTTTGGATTTATTCTACACCAGAGATTCCAGTTTTATCATTTATTCAGCACAGCTCTATCTTTGATCAAATCAAAAGTGCTGTCAATTCACAGAGGTGTCTTACAAGAATCAACATTAGGTCGACTAATATATATTTCATAGAGAAGTTAAATATCCACAACTGTAAAGGAATATGGTCTTAAGGGGGAGAAATTGATGACAAATACATAATTCTATCATTTTTATGTGCAATCACTGTCTGAGAAAGGTAGTGAGCAAAGTGATGTGCATTTAGAGAAAAGTATTTCATCCCAGATGATTTTAACGGGCAAATGAACAAAAAAATTGAGAGATTCTAACGAGTGAGGTCGATTTTATTAAGGAAGAAAACAAATTAGTATGGCCGATACGCGATAAAGATTTGATTAATGTTGTCGCCCACTTGCCCGTCCCGTCAAAATAAGTATAGGATTGGAACAATGAAAATGAATGAACAACCGCCCACTAACCCGGCACGGCACAGCCAAAAGCGTCCGCCGCCGGAAAAGATTCCAACTCTCCGATCCTGTCCGGCAAAAAACGGTACGTGCAGTGACGGACTGGCCAAGTGAACGCGTCAGCCAGCGCTTGCCAGCATCAACTTGTCCAAACGTGCCTAGGAAGTTTCTGTCTCTCTGTTTTGCTGTTCCATCAGTTGACAGCACAGTGTCAGACGGTACCTATGAAAAGGACGAGGAAAAGTTGAGTTGCTTGTTAAGGCAGGCTCTAGAATATCCAGAAGTTCTGAAAATTTACCTGGAATAATTCGGAAATACCGGAAAAATTTCTCCTCGTCTGCTTTCAAGTCGTTGAAGAGATGATGAAACTCTCCCAGATTTGCTCTCTTTTGATTAATGGGATGCACTCGCAACATTCTTTTTTGTGACTATTTTCTTCTAAATTCAATAATGCAATCACTATAATGACGACTTCTTCGTCAGAATTCCTAGTGATAGACATGTTTCTGTCACCGCTTGATGTCAATTGAAATTACCATAAAATCGAACAAACAGCACCTTCAGTAAGGCTAATTGCACACACACCGATTTTGGACGGCCAGTATAAAATCGGCCGATATTTTATTGGTAGCGGGTGCTTGCACACTCACCGGATTCTTATCGGTCAAACAATCAGTTGCTTTGTTGTCGTAACTTGCACACACTACCAGAACGAAGTTAATGCATAGTAACTACAATTTCACCGAGCATTCGAGACTGGAATGGTCGGTAAAAAACCGGTGAGTATGCAAGAGTATATTTAGTCATGTACGCCACTACTTCCCGGTACTGCCGGCGATACAGTGGCAGTGGACGGCTGCTCACCGGTATTTTACCGGCGACGATCACCGGTAGGCATGTGTGCAAGGTCCCGTTCCCACATGTGGTTCACTATTGGAATTTGGACGACCGGTATAAAATTGGCCGTCCAAAATCGGTGTGTGTGCATTTAGGGTAATTGCACACACACCGATTGTGTGACTCATTTCTCAACCTATTCGATAAAGCCTTTCCTCAGGAATTACATCAAACCAATACACATAAAAAATCTAATAACAATAAACCTTGGTTAACTAAGGAGGTGGTTAATGAAGGAAAATTACTCAAGAGATATTTCCCACATCAGTAAAATTCGATCTGATGAAATAATTAACCAACAATACAAATTACTTTTGAAACAGCATTGACAAAAGATAGAAACTTTAAGGAAGTCTTACTTCGGCCACAAATTTCTTGAAGCCACAAATAAATCTAAGGTTGCCTGGACTATATTCAAACAGAATACCGCATGTGATAAAAAAAGCAAATTCTTGGCAAAAATATGTTATTGATGAAAATGAATTATCTGTAAACGAGGGTGTTGATATCTCCCAAACATTCAGCTTCTTGAATTCTGTCCAAAAATTAGTCAAAGAAACATCTCCTATTTTAGTAAATAACTGTGACCCCAACTCCAACTCACTTTTTTTATATCCTCTGGATGAAATAGAACTACTCGAGATAGTGAAGTCGATATCTTTTAAGACTTCCAGTGGCGTGGATCAAGTACCTTGCAACCTCTTGTTCAAGGTGGTTGAAAATTTGATCGAACCCCTCTTATACCTCATTAATATCTCCTTAGTCGAAGGTATATTCCCTACTCGACTCAAACATGCAATAATAGTGCCTATCCATAAGAAAAATGACAAGCACTCGATTTCCAATTACAGAGGAATTGAGTTACTATCTGCATTTTCCAAAATATTCGAGAAAACTTATCAAAGCAGACTACTCTCTTTTTGCAAGAAGTATAAAATCATACCAGACTGTCAATATGGCTTCCAAATTGGCAAGTCCACTCAGGATGCCACGATGAATTTAGTCAATGAAGTCATTTCTAATCTCGATAGAGGTGAAAAAACGATAAGTGTTCTATTC